AGCCATGAACGGACGAGGAGCGGGCATTGTTTGCATTTGTCTCTATTTTGTTCCGGGCGAGCCAGCATACCTTCTTGCATTTCAACCTTTCGGCTTTGAGTTCTTCTCGTTATGATACCATTCATCTCTTTTATGTGCGTGGAGTTATTTGCGTTTGGCGTTTGGAGGATGGACGAAAGCGAAAAGGAGACAAGGCAAAGATGCTGCTCATATTCCGTAGAGTCATTTTCAGCAATTGAAATACAAACCTGCCGATACACACTATACCTACTAGACATGTCTTCTACCCAAAGGTTCATTGAACCTGAGAAGATGCAACAGGCCAGAACCGGCGATTGCCAAGGGGCATGGCTGTTGATGGCGGCGGGCAGAGCCAATGAAATACAGCGTGAAAGCGGTCCAAAGCGTGCACCAGAAAACCAACCCCCCCCCCCCCGACATTTTGCAGGCCACCATCGAAAGCTCGCACCTACCCCTCTTAGCCTGAACAGGCTCTGTTGGCCAATCACACCGAGTACCGAGGCACCAAGTCGACCCGGACTTTTCCCTTTTCATTGGCAGACCGAGTTGAACCGTAACACAAACGGCAATTTTACGCACCCTCCTCTTCTCAAATCGCGAGCGAGCCAAGTCCGATTCGGAAATCTTGCCAGGCTGGCTCCAGGATGACAAGTGCTTGCAGGCACTGCTGGTCTGGTCGCCTGGTGGTGGTTGCGACTATGCTTGTATATGCGCCAATTCACAAGCCCACTGCCGGGGGGGCTGGTTGCAGCACAGGAGTTGGGAATCACCTGTTCTGTACGCAGCAGCGAAGTTGCCACTAGTCAGTAGTAATCAGATGCTGTCACTAACTATTGACGGAACTGGAAGATGGCATTTTGAAAGATACGCAAAGTGTCAACTGAGAAATCACTTGCTGGGCCGAGTAACTGCCCGGTTGATGCACGTAGGTAATCCGTCAGTCGGTGTTCGACCCGCCACTGCGGGCAGGAGCGTTTACCAACCTGCGGGGTCCCGCCAACTTGAACCTAGAAGGGTTGGCGGGTGGGTTCGCACACACCGGGCCCTACTGCGGTGCTCGTCTCCGAGTGGTGGGACCATTTCGTTCGCTATCACGCTATCAACCACCACACCTCCTTCTTTCATCATTTCCCCCCACCAATTCCGCCTTTTCCCCCATCCCCCCATCACCCCTGTGGGCTTGGATCGGGGCCCGGGACCTTCCTTCTTGTGCATCGGTTTGTGCAATCGTACTTGTATTTTGTTGCATCTCGGGCCTGTGATGCCTCCATCGTATCCGACAGAGCGGTTGAGGGTCTTCTCCGAGGTGCGATCCGAAGATGAGATGACGATGAGCAAGGATGATCAGATCTGCTCCTTCCTCTTTCTCCACTACGTCGTCGGTGTTATCTTATGACACCCACCAGGTAACGGCGTGGTGACAGTCAGCCGTCAATGAGATGAAGAAGACAACGCCAAGCATGGCGGGCTCGCCAAAGGCCCGCTCCCTCCCTTTCGTCCCTGCCTGCCTGCCTGCATGTGCCATGCGCAAGGCCAAGCTCCAATTCCAAGCTGCTGCTGCTGCTCGGAGGCCCAGTCGGCTAGCAAATTGTGACCGCATGGGCCGTTCCCACATCATCATCCACTCTGGAGTCGTCCCCAAAGTTGCAGCAGCTCGACAGGCAGCGGGGTGGCATCTTGGATCGTCTGTCCCGCTAAAGCGAGTCGGGAACAGGTCGGTCAATACCAGCATCCCCATCCTAGCTCGCATCTTGCTGGCCCCCCAACGCGAACACCAAACGGGTGTCTGTGATGTGTGCCTCGTGCGTGTTGTGTTCCGGGATCACCTCACCTGTTTCCTCGCTGCCCTCAATCGGCCCTCTTTTGTTTCTGACTTGCCGTCGATCGATCCCCAGTATTTCTGCATACAGTCGCGTTGCTGCTACCAAGGGACAAATACACCCCAGTGTCGTTGCAGGTAGCCAGCCTATGAGCTGTTGCGGTTCAATTCCACAGATTTATTGGGAGAAACACCTATGATCCCTACCGTCTTTTCCAACAACGCCCTGTCTTACTCGGTAAGACCCTGCAAAGGACTGGCAAACAGCCTCCCGACATCACCGGTCAGACTACTTGCTCTACAACGGACCCAAGGACCAGCCAGTCGGTGCCGCGTGGATTCCCAGAAACCTAAAAGAGGCAGTGTCACTTACACTCAAGTGGGGTCAACACGCGAATTCCTGGAGCAGCTGCCAAAGAACCCTCCCAGCCAAAGTCGTTACCTCTTTCCAGCCTCTTCTTGTCTGTTTTCCCAGATCGGCGTACAAGGTAGCTGCCTCACCCCGTTGACCCAAATTGCCGGCACTTTTGTGGCGTTCTTTTCTGACGCGAATATATATAAAAGCTGTTCGAGCTCGAGGCCCCCGAACAAAAAGTGTTAGTTTTGTCTCGGGTTCCCGTCACGCCTTGAGCCGCGACTGGAACAGGGGTATCAATAGCCAGCAACAACAGCAACGCGGTATCGCCAACATGTCCAAACTCAGGATCACCTCCTGGCTTAGCCCGAGCACCTACTCCTCGTCCAGCACTAAGACAGACGCCGAAGGGAAGAAGCAGCCGCAGCACCGACGGTCCCTCTCGATGTTTCGCCGCGGTGAACCCGAGGCAAACGCCACCAAGATTGTGGCTACTTCTACCCCTGCGCAATCCTCCACAGTGCCCCCATCGCGGATGGTTGTCCTGGCGCAGCAGATCACAAAGGAGACCGAGAAGCTGGAGACTTACATGAGAGACAACAACCTTCCCATGCCGAGCTTTGACGTTGACGCCCCTGCCGATTTTCCCAAGCTGCCTGAAGACATCTTGAAAAGCAGACAGGAAATCATCCGTGCTACGAAGGAACTGAACCTCCTTGCACTTGGGCCGCGCGAGTCACTGAGATGGGGAGTCTGGGAGGCAAGTCATTCTTCTCCGTGTTTCCTCACCATGCGCTCTCATGAGACTAACTATTTGATAGTTTCTGGATATTCTCGCACTTCAGGTTATCAGCCATTTTGGCATTGGTAAGGCCTGCTCTCTTTTTGCTGTCCTCTCACCTTCTGACACACTTGGCAGCGAAACTCTTTCCCGCCGATTCCACCATCACCCTTTCTGAGCTGGAAGCAAAGACATCCCTGGATCCCATCAATTTGGCGCGTCTTCTTCGTCTTATCATGACCAAGGGGATCTTCTGCGAGCCCAGCCATGGCGTGATCGCACATACTGCCGCGTCCCGCTTGCTTGCCGAGGATGCCGACATGGAGGCATGGATCGGCTTCAACCTTGAAGACATTTTCCCCGCGTCGGCACATGTCTTGGAAGCCATCAAGACTTACCCTGAGGCCACATCGCTGACACAGTCTGGGTTCTGTTTCGCATTCGACACGGTGGACAAAGAGCCCATGTTCGTCACTTTCGGTAAAGACCCGAACCGGGCCCGACGCATGGGTCGCGCCATGGTCAGCCTTACTGGCGGCGAGGGCTACGAGGTCTCGTATTTTGTCAATGTTGAGGGTGGCGGCTACGACCTCAGCGATGTCGACGCTGCCGGTGGGACTTTTGTTGACATTGGCGGCTCTCACGGGTTTGTCTGCGTTGATCTTGCCACCCGCTACAAGAACATCAAGTTTGTCGTGCAAGACCTTCCCAAGACTGTCGACAGCGCTCCGAAGCCCATTTGCGCCGACCCGCAGGCCGCCGATCGAATTGCCATGCTTGCACATGACTTCTTCACGCCGCAGGTTACCAAAGGCGCGGATGGTAAGTCCTTTCTTGCGGATTCCGCTGGCACAGGCTCTATGTGCTGACGAACGTGATGCGTAGTGTACTACTTCCGCTGGATCATCCATAACTATTCGACCCCCTATGCGATCAAGATTCTGCAGAATCTGATCCCGGCCCTGAAGCCCGGTGCCCGTATTGTCATCAACGACCACTGCTTGCTGGAGCCCGGGCAGGAGAATTCCTGGGATGAAAGCGTCATGCGTCGCATGGACGTGGTTATGCTGACCCTCCTGAACGCCCAGGAGCGTACTGAGGCTGAATTCAGACAGCTCTTCAAGGATGCCAGTGATGGTTTCTTTTTCAAGGTGAGCACCTCTCTGTCGGAGCATCTTAAGATATATCATTGTTTACTGACATGGACACAGGGCGTCACGAGGCCCAAGGGTTGCCGTATGAGCATCATCGAGGCTGTCTGGCAGCCTAAGGATAATGCGCTGGTGGAGAAAGCGGACGCCATTCATGCGACTGACGCGACGAATGAAGCTGCAGTTGCTCCTATGCCTACGGCTGGCTAAACCCGCAAACGTTACGAGACATAAGAGCATCGCTGAGCGAGGAGGTCAATTTGTATGGGGATGTACATATATTCGTTGCGGTTCCTCGTTCCGAGAAGGAGTCGGGCTGTCTGGATGGAAAATGGAAAAACTCTCACCGCGTTGCATCTTCTATTATGTGCAGTACGACAACCCTTTTTTCTTTGCTGGGAGTAAACTTACCTGTGGCATTATCATTTCACTCCTGTACCTCAAAACGTTTATCTGTAAGACTTTAATCATTCAGACCTAATCAACTGTCTTTTTTCAGTCTTGTATCCTCTAAAAAATAACCATTCCGGGACTTGAGATAGAAGTCCCACAGTCACGCAAAACGAAGAACGAAAAAAAGAGAAACACCCCCAAAAATTGAACCATTGATTCCTTCCTTTCTCTCCTCTCACTGGACTCACTCGCTTCACCCCATCCCTCATTCCAGTACTCTCCCGCCGGGAATCGAACCCGGGTCCCGAGCGTGACAAGCTCATATACTGACCACTATACTACGGAAGATAATAATTCTTTTTTTCTCTATTCGCAAGATGTTTGAAGCATCTGCTGTAGCCCTGCAGGATAAGGGGAAGTTTCGCAAGATCACAGGTGAGATGAGAGCCAGAGAGCCAAGGAGAGAAAGCAAATGGTGATTGGACGAACCGTGAATTGAACACGGGACCTGACATTCTGTAAGCGTAAACAAACGCAAGTGTTTCTTTTTATTGTGGGGGGGGGGGGGGGGGGAGACATGGGAAGGATGCGAAACAGAGATCATACATACCACTAGACCATCCGCCCTCCCTGGTTTTCGCTTTTTTTATGGAGATTGGTGAGGGGATCAGGGTTTATGTGCTTGTGTTTGTATTGTGATATGTGTGTGTGTGTGTGTGTGTATGTGTGGGTTTGGCTGTGGGTATTGTTCGGTTGTGTGTGTCAAGAAGATGAAGAACAGTGGATTGTGGAGTGGTCAAGGTGTTTTATACTTCTTCTACATGGAAGGCTTTTTTTCCCTTTATTATGGGCGACGTTGTGAGCCGTGGAAATGACGTCCCATCTATTCCTGCATCTGCAGGCTACGGAAGGACCTAAATAGAGGAGGGCATTGCATTTTGAAGACAGTGAGGGAGACATGTCGGAAGATTAGGGCATACGCGATTAGGAACTTAACCAAGACAAGGCCAAGGCATCACTTGGCTATGCAGTAGGTCGACAATGATAATCAAATGGCTGTTGAATGACTCAAATCTAGCTAGTACCCCTCCATCCAGTGATCCCGTCTACTTATAGCTAGGTATTTTCTCCCTTGAACGAAAACGAAGTCCATCCAAGAGTAACCAAGATGCCAGCCAACCCAATCATCACCTCTGCGTCTTCCGCAACCTTTATCTATCGGTAGTAGTCCGGTCTGAAGCCAAGAAAAAGAGAAACCAAAAACACTCCCCATGTCTAGAAAGATATAGCTTCTGCCTCTATTACCACTGCATCATCTAAAACCCCATTAACTCCCGTCTCTCTTCCCTTTTTAGTCGTTTCGTGTTTTCTGTTCAGCTACCTATCTGCTCATATCTGCCCAATTGATCATCTTTGACAATTGCCTAAGCAGTCAAAAATCCGCCTTTGCGAATCACTTCCTCGCAGATCTTCTGCAGGGGCATGCTATTGATACCCTGGCCGATGGAGACGCCCGTGGCACGCTTCAGCCAGCTATCAAGATTGGTGCCCCTCATCGAGTCGCTATGGCACTCGGTCGGCGTCATGTGCGGCTTGATTCCTGCAGCCTCGATGTTGGGGATGATGGACACCATGGCATCGATGAGCGGCCCCATGAGAGTTTCAACTCCTTCCTCCATTGTAGCCGCCTGCTTAAGGGACCGTAGAAGAACCAAGCAGTCAAGCTTCCCAACTTTATTCTCAAAGACGCAGGGGCTGATGTCCACGCGGTTGAGATGGGCGAAGAGGGCAGTGTCTGCCCAAAACGGATCCGCCACCTTGTTCTGTTTAATGAGGCCTCCAGTGCCTACGCCCATCACAACTTGGGGTGGCATTATATTGTCGCCGCTGCCATAGCCAGATATGGACCGCTCTAGCATCAAGAGCATGTCTTGGAGACGGATTCCAAAGAAACCGATACTGCGTAAATGGTCCATCATTTCCTGGTCAACCATTCCGACGCCGATGATAGGCCCGATGTCTAGGGAGACGGTGCGCATCCCGCGCAAAGTTCGATGACGGGCGAGTGAATCCTGAAAGGAGTTTGCGGCCGCGTAGTTGGCCTGGCCCCTATTGCCAATGACACCAGCCGCAGAAGAGAGGAGTATAAAAAAGTCCAAGTCCTTGGGCAGGGACTCGTGGAGGTTCCAAGACCCGATCGTCTTCACTTTTGTTGCAATGGTCCAGTCCTCGTATGTCATGTTTTGGTACGTGGCATCCTGGTACATATTAGCAAGTGCAAAGACCACACAAAATAGGGACACCCACCCTCAAGACGCCGGCTGCATGAATGACGCCCTTGACCTTGAGCTCCATATTCTGCAGCCATCTCGTAAAGACAGCGACCTCCTCGGAATCGCAGATATCTAGCTGGTATGTGCGTACCCGTGTTGTCCGCGACTGGGTCAACTTATCGAGTTGTCGTCTGAGTGCCTCGCGAGTGGGGGCTGCTGAGCGTGATGCCAGGACTACATGACCAGCACCTTGCTCCACAAGCCAGCTTGCAATTCTCAGGCCAAGGCCTCCAAATCCACCTACAATGACGTAGATCCCATTGGCGTCTAGAACCATGTCGTGCTTTATGGGGTTGGTCCCAACCAGGACGTTCTCTTCCTCGGCCTTGAGAATAAATGTGCCTGCATTTGGGTCTTTCTCCATGTGCTTTAGAGCTTCGCTTACCCGGCCAAATGAGTAGATGTGAAAAGGCCGTAGCATTTCGGCCGCGGTTGATTTCTCGGTGACTGTGGCAAAGAGTGCTTCAAAGTCGTCTCCCAAAGGAAGACCCTTATTGAGATATGCGTCGAGGTCAAATCGCACAAACTCAAACGAGCGGCGGGGCAGCTGGACGTTGTCCCAGTCGCCAGGCTTTGTAGTAACTTGGAAAATACGCCCGACTATCAAAAGTTAGCTTATAGGTTACTGCGGAGGAAACAATGAATACTCACAATTTGCAATACATGAGAAGTTGTTGTCCAGGTGTTTACCACCTGTGGGGTCAAACACCAGATCAACATGTTTATCGTTGCGGCCCAGCTCTCCTGAGAGTCGTTGAACTCTCTCCGTCAACTCTGGCCCATCGCAGATGATGAACTTGTCCTCCATATCAAAAATTGACTTGATGACCCGAGTTTGCTCATCATTTGAGACTGTGGCGATGATCTTTGCACCCAGATGTCGAAACAGAGCAATGGCTGCTTGCCCCAACACTCCGGCAGCAGCATGTACAAGTACAACCGTAGAACTTCCAATGTGAAACCCGTTTGTTGACTGATATGCCGTGAAGAGTGCAGCCATACTCCAGGGCAGCAAACATGAGGATTTCTGGTTTTCGTGTTTTGCTTCAGGTCCGTCAAAACATTTCGGTCGCACTTGAACATAGCTCTCATGTGCAACTACAGAGTTTTGAACTGAGCCCTGTGCAAGAGCTACGACGTCTTGGCCAACTCTGAATCGTATAACGTTCTTGCCCACTTCGACGACGGCTCCAACGACATCAACACCGATCGACGACATTGTGTTCTTCCCAAGGACCGTTTCCAAATCAACGGGGAAGAGAAAGGTCTGATGTATCTGAATCCGGACCTGGTCAGGCTGCAGTTGAGTTGAAGTGTCAAGATCTGAGGAAAAATACAGACTCTCGAGGCGCCCAGGATGTCCAACCTCTAACTTTAGAGCGTCTCCGTTGGGGTTGAAAGTTCCCATGCTAGTCTGAAGACTTTGCCCAGGACCTTGATCGATGAGGGTGTTCAGGTCTTCCAATAATGAGAGACGAGGAATGTAAAAGTGCCCGTCGCGTTCAGCATACTCAGTTTCTCTCAGAACAGTCTTCCCTGCAGTTCTGGTGAATGAGCTCAAGAAGATTGTTTGGATCAACTTCGCTGTATCTTCCTCCTTGGCTCCGAGCTGCAGATCCAAGCAGACGATATGTTTATGACTGTCTTCTGAACGTACCGTTCGAGACCAACCCAGGAATGCAGCATTTTGCGGAGAAGCGCATGCCATTTGAGCGCCACGGGTTGTCCACAAAAGACCCTTGGAAGACCGAAGCAGCTTCTTCACAAAACCAAACTGCTCCTTGCTCATGTTGAATACGAAGCCACCCTGGTCATACAGGTCGAGGAGAGAGATGACCAACAAGCTGCTCTTCTTTGGGGATATTTGCTGAAGCCACTCGAGAGTTTGAATGCTGGCCGTCAAACCGGCATCTGAGAGACCCCTTTGAAGAAATTCCGCAACTGAGTTCGAAATACACAGTTCTGAAGACGACTGCAGGATAATAATATCCTCACCACTCAAGCCTGCAAGTTGAACCCCTCCTGACTTGCAAAACATTTGCAAGGCTCCAACCTCTGGCGCGTGGACTTGACTGCCAACAGGACTGAAGATGTGCCTGGATAAGACTGACCAAGATAGAAGGTGATCCGCTTCCGAGAGACCTGAATCCGACTGTTGATCATCCGAGACGGCCAGAAGGAAGCCAGCCGGCTTCACAAAAGTCTCTATTTCCTTCATGCTGAGCTCGGTTGCACTCTCGACGATGACTAAGTCAAACTGGCGAGCCATGGCAAAACTTGACAAATCAGACGGATGCTGATATGTCAAGAGCGGTTGGTGCCTCTGTGCTGACGAACTCAGGACTGTATCATACGCTTTGGTCGTTTTGGCGCTGATCGTGTATGTTGCAAGTCGAGGTGTTGTGGAAGGTGCCCCATCACTCTCTGCGAGAGCTTGGATGACGGTTGTGATCATGTGCAAATTCTCTCCAATATGGAGAATATTAACGCCTGGATTCTTGTGCCCGAGAAGATCGAGCCATTCCTTCAAATTGTCAAAGTCGGAATGGCAAACATCTTCTTTCCAAATAACTGTGGATGTTAGATTTCGGTGACTGGGTAGAAAGCCCATACCGTCGGGGCCTGCAGAAACAATAGACATGAGCCGAAGACCTTCGACTTCTACCACACACTTGTTCTCGGCCGCGCCCTGCTCGCTTGCTCGAGAATGCCACATCCCGATACTGGCGCATGCCTCTCGAAGACCAACATTGTATCCTTTAGCAACACCGACTAGCTTGGTGCCTGCATCACTTGGAATGTCAGCCGTGACACGAATCTTGTCGATGTAAAATGGCACCATGGGGCGACTCCCCAGAGTGAAGACGGTTTGGAAAATGCTGTCAAGAGTTGCTGGGTGAATAATGTGGTCGAACTCGAACTGCTGGGGCATTTTTGATTTGGTGTCAGGAATCATGATTGAGGCCAAGCATTCTTTGCCTTGCCCGGTCTTTTTGGTTTCTCCGATGTCAAAAATGTTGCGAAGCAAGGGTCCGTAATTCATACCGATGACATCAAGACCCTCGTAGAATTCGAACGGGCTCATCCGAGCCGTTTCCTCGTGCCATCCATCTCCAATCGAACTTGAGGATAGTCCGACACCACCATTACGATCAGCGCCACGCCCGTAGAAACGAATAGTGAATATGCCTTCAGCGTTTTCCTGGTAAGGAGAGTCCTCGATTGGCTTCGAGAAGATAGCAAACTCGTATGACCAAGTCGTGACACCCTGAAGGAAGGAGTCCGAAATTCGCT